TCTTGATGGAGAGATAAGTAGCAGAAATATGAAAAAGAAATTGTGGTCTTTAGGAATGTTGTTATATTAATTCTTTGATATTGTGGAAAAATGCAATATTCTTCTTGTGGTGTGCTTGCAAATGTAGGCATGTTATCTGATACCTACCTGCAACTAACATTATATAAGTATTGGAATGTAAGTAGAGACAACAGGGTTTGGTGGGGATAGGGCAGGAAGGGCTAGAGATGAGGTCGTCATTTGGAAATGATAAGAAGCCGTAATACAATTTTGGTTGTCCTCTCATATAATGCAATTGGGGGGGCAGGTATTAAAAGATTTTTTTTTTTCCTACCCTTAACTTAAATTTTTAATGTTAAAACCAAAAATTAAGTCCTGCACAATTCATTTTTTTCCTGAACAAAGACATTAACTAGAGAATTAGTAACAGTGATTAAAAGCATATCAAGCAAGGGAAATAATATTTTAAAAACGGAGGAAGCAGTCTTTAATGAGACTTTAAAATTACTTCCAGCACTCACTTCATTGAAAAATTTGAAGAAAAAAATTCCGGAGAATAAAAGTAACGTAAAAGATTTAGGCTATCTAGTTGTTTCATCGAGGGGCTGGAAGAATTCCCAATTTGTCAGACACGGTTCTTCTGAGAAGGGGAAGAAACAGCCTGTTTGTTTCCATCCTAAAAAGGAACAATTTAAAAGTAGTTTTTAAGATTTCTCTATAAAAAAGTTTATAAAAAGGTGCGGACTGTTTCTTCCCTATCCCAACCCTAAAAATAAAACTTTGTTGTTTTTCTTAAGATCTTCCTTTAATCTTCCAGAGGCACACTGTTGCACACTTATTTTCATGTCTTATTTTAATGCAGCCATTATGTGATAGCTGTATTATAGTGCATAATTGGTATTTTTTTTTTAACTTTTTTTTTTTTTAATCTTGGATTGCTTGACAATAAAACTGCAATGAGTAAATAGTCAAAATTCAAAGTGTGTGTCTCACAGGTGAGCCACATCTGCCACAGACAGAAGGGTTTTCTGGTTTTCTGTTAGAGGTCAGGCTATCTGTTGGATGCTTTCCTTATCATACCAACATCAGAAATTATTTGCACTTCCTGCTGAATCAAGAATGCAAAAATTCCTGAAAAAAGTCAAGGAAGATTCAGTCTCACAAAGTTTATTAATCTGGCACCAATATTTGGTTTCTCCACGGATGAGTTGTCTGTTCAAACCAGCAACAGTCTTGCAACATCTAAGTCAGAACTTAAGCGTGATGCCTACAGGCTTTACAGAGACACATAGGATACAGGTTGGTTAGTCCAGTATCAGCTGTTTAGTTGAAGTAAAAACAGCCCGTAAATGTTTCCCGGCTGGCCTGTATTACAGAGTGGAGGACTTCCATCTTCGGGCAGACCTCTCTCCTGTCTCATGGGGAGTAAGTTAGGATTTCAGGTGGTAATCTTTTCTCTTCCCTTGTCCGAGGCAGGATCAGCTCTGTTGATGTCCTCTCTGACCGATATTCATAAAGTTCTGACCTGTTCCTAAAGACTTCAGAGACTCTTTGGGCAGTCTGCTTCCCTTTTCTGAGGTGTAGGACTAACGGCTGTGCCTTAAAATATTTCTGTAATCTGCTCTGTAAGGTTGTGTTTAGCAGCAGTATCCAATCCTTCTGATCACTTTGATGTTGGAGTGTTTGCTCTTAAAGCAACTCCTGCACTGCATGTTTTCCTCATCTGAAAACCCTTTTCCTGGGAATAGAGGTTAGAGTAGACCATTCTGTTTGGCCCCTTCAGAATCTTCCCGTTGTCTGTGCCATCTTATAAAAATGTATTATTTTAGTAGGTTTTGTTTTGGGTTGGATGTCAGAGAAATTTAGACCACTGAAGCCATATCATACACTACTTCACAGCGGAAAAATAATTCTTAAGTTTGTTTCCAGAGTGTTTGTTTTGTTTTGTTGTTTTGTTTTTTTGGTCATCCACTCTTTTCTCAGTCTCTGTAAAGAGGAGCAAGTACGAAGTCAAACCTTACCTTTGATTCAGGGAAAACTCAAATAATCTCCGAACAATACATGTCTTGGCTACTAGGCTCAAGAACAGTATTGTATGGGTAGTCTTTGATTTTACTGTCTCTGCTTGGCTGAGAAAGTGAAATTAGACTCTCTCCAGGTTAAAGCTTGCTGATCCAGAATTTAGGTGGTCTCTTAGCTTCTCTTGTAAAGCACTCTAACATCTGAAGTTTGGACGTTGTTACAGCTTCAGGGTTGGGTGATTGCCTTGCCCTTCTCCTTTGCTTGAATAGGAGCATTATCACTCATCTCATATTGCAAGTCAAAGGGATGACTTGTACAGACAGATGGTTTGAAACAGACAGGTTATTACAATGATAGTCCTTCTATATGTAGTGCATATGGGTTTTGTGAGCTGCCATTCTCTCCTGCTATTTTCATGTCCTTTGCCACCTGGATTCTCAATTGACTGAGGCACAACTAGGCACGCACAAAGGGTTTTTTCTTCTTTCTCGACATATGCAAACCTCACCTCAGTTACAGAAGAACAGACACTGCTTCCGAAAGAAATCTGATTTGTTGTGCGTGGGCATGTATGCACCCCAGAAGAGGAATTAATATAATTAATGTTGAGTAAGTATTTGTTTACTCTTGGGCTTGATTTGGCATAATTTGTCACTGTACGACATAGTGTTCTACCAAGCATTACCCACATTGCTAGTGCTTTTTTTAAATTGTTTGGGTTTTTAAAATAATTGTTTAAAATAATACTTTAGGTTTTATATGACTGTTTCAAGTTAGAGAGGGGCTAAAAAAGGTATTCTGAGAGATGCATCAAATTCCTGTTCAAGTTAACAAAAGTAGCTCAGTTATCTAACCAAGATAACTATGAACAGTAGTCTTCCTACCTATTTCACCTCTCTCTGAAGAAACAGAGTGGAATTGATGTCTCACACTACAAGCTGCTCAGAGTGACTGTTCACTTTTGCACTGTTTGTGTCAATTAAGGAAAGATGTTGCTGCTTCCCATCCTTTCAGACCAGTGTCTAAATTCCAGTCTGGAAGCCACTGCTAAAAACCATGGTGGAATGCAGCAAGGTATTCAGCTTCCCTGTGAAGTCACCTGAATACCTGCAGAAACCCTGTTTAGAACTGTGTGCAGTCAGAGACCAATTTATTTAGCTCTGATATTTAAGGTTTGTAGAGAGGAGTTTGGGGATTTTGCTTTTAATTTGTGCACCCGAGTAGGTTCTAAAGCTCATAGCTTTCACTGAGTTAAATAGTAAAGACTGTGACTCATTCTCTTGAAGTTACTCGTTTATTCAGGTTTAATGATCCAAATGAAGCATTTTCTTAATAAGTACATTATTTAAAACGTATTGGATATTTACACATTTACTAGCTTTAAAGTGTTCTTAAGTGTTACCTCTTTAATAATGACTTTTTAATGGTATTGTGCTTAATTCCCTAGCTACCTTTTTCTTTAAAAACCATGAATGAAAGTAAAGCAAGCAAGCAGACAGTGGCTTTGTAAGACCTCTGCAGAGATACATGTGAGGAAGGCTTACTCGTAGCATCTACTTTTAGTCTGCCTTTGGGAAATCAAATCTTAGAAGGACAAGTTGGAAGCTGAGGTTCCATACATGTCAAGTGTTGGGTGTTTCTAATTACTCCCTGCAGACACCTAAATTAGATGTCTGAAGTGGTCTCTCTGAATACCCCATGCTGTGTGCCTGTTCTGTGTCTGCCAGCCTTTCAGTGCAAGGGATCAGATATTTCTTCACGGTGGTATGACAAAGGATCATGTTCCTGCCAAGTTTCATTAGAATATAACAAATCGAGGAAACCAAGTAAAGCATTTAACTGTAAACTTTATGAAAACATGTAAATTTATATTTTAAAAAACCTGTATAAATTATACTAGCCATGCGTACAAATATTGTTGACTAGTATTCTTGTAGGAATTCCACTTGTTACAAGTAGATTATTTTGTCCCTTGTATACTGCTTGTTTTTTTGTTTTTTTTTTTCCTGCTAGACACTGTTGTGTATCCTGTAGAAATCCACAGACTTGTAATGTTAATGCTTTGTGAAATTTACTCCCGTTTTCAAGCTCACGCAGATTACAAAGTCCTAACACGGTGATGAATGTTTGAAGTATGATGCACGGCTATTTGTGATGTGGATCCCAGACTGTGTTCTTTTTTGCACCGTGTGTATTTTCAACTACAAAACAAAATACGGCTACAGACAATGAACAAGAGTCTTTTCTGTATCTTAGAAACCCAAATAAAAACCCGTGACGTTTCCCTTGTTGTGGAGCAGAACAGCTGCATACGCTACATTTTTTTTTTTTAAGATGCATCTGATGTTCCAGTCCAATTTCAGGCTGAGCAATGCGCAGTACTTTCTGAAAAGAATGGCCATGTTAAATGGCAGGAACATGACTGTAAAATACACATTATATCTGTTTCAGTCTGCGCGCTAGTAGTGACAGGTGCTCAATGGTTGTCAGCATCCTTGTCAGCACGGAGGCTCCTTTGACATTAAAGTCACCGGCTCGGTCCTGGTGCTGCGCAGCTCTATTGGCAGTTCCATCAGGCTGCAGCTGATCAGCGAATGTCAGAGCCTCCGCTGTTCTTCTGCTGTGTCACCAGCCCTCTGTGTTTTCGAGCTGGCCTCGCCTGTTAGTTGAACTTGCCCACACTTCTTCAGCAGCTTTCCTGTGGGAGATGAGCGGATAGGTCATGGGTACGCAGGTATCTTCAGGGCAGTGCAAAACCACATCCAAAGTGGCTTGCATAAAGGTTTGTAACGATTACCGTCGCTTTAAGCCAATCAATGGGTAGAGCACCCAGGGACTCATTAAGTGGCATTTGTGGTGTCTGTAACAGAGTTTTGAGCCGTATTTCAGGAAATGCGGTGACAGCCTTTAATGTCTAATTGACCTCTTCTCTTTGTCTCACTTTCCATATTTCCTTCTGATGTGTTCCCCTGTGGCAGCAAACAGCCCTGCTCAGTATTCTGAACTTCTGCTCGGAGCTGCAGCACCTCAGCCTGGGCAGCTGCGTCATGGTGAGTGCGTACCCCACTCGGGGGGTGGGTGTGTGCTTTGGATCTCAGTCGGGGTTTATGTTTCACAAAGACGTGTTAAATGCTGGGTTGATATTATACTATACTCTCTTGAAAGGTCCAAGGTTAATGCAGCTTAGTCACATACTCAAGGTTTACGTAGTAGTTTAGTAGGCCTAAAAACATAGCTTGTACGTTCTCTTACAGTTCTTCAGCCTCTCCCTAAATTTCTGGGCATTCTTTACATGCGTAATCACTTTTTCTTTCCAGAATTAATAATCAAGACTGACTGACTTCTACTCAGGCCAAGTCATCATTCCTAGCAGATTAATGCTTGTGTCTGTCCCTACAAGGATAACCCTGAGAGAAATACTTTCATCGAAAGCCAGTTTGGGTCCCAGGCTTGCTGAGTGCACCCGTTGATTTAAAGGAGGAGACCACAGGGACAGCAGCGGGGCACTCACCTGGGCTGTACTGCCTGTGCGTGCCAGAGCTGTGTGTCCATGCAGGGGGGCTGGCTTGCTGGTAGAGAGGCCAGATCGCTCCTCAGGGAGACTCAACTGGCCTTCCTCGTCCTTCCAGAAGCTAGAGACAAAGCAGAATTGGCTCAGCCTTCTCTGCTTTGACTCGTGGACAGAGAGGGGAAGGCAGCATGACTGCGTTTTTCCAACAGTCCTTGTCTTCTCGTGGGTTTTGATAGTGGACTTCATTCCTTGTGCCTCTATAGTGGGGCCCTGTTTCAGTCCCTTTGGCTTGCCCAAGGTAACTAATAAGACTTCCATAAAGGGATGCAGCAACTGATCAGCCTAGAATGGCAATAAGCACATTCTTCAATCTACACGTGCTCATGGGTGCAGCGCCAATGGTCATAAACACAGGTTTAATAATCTTTTAAAGGAGAAACAACTGCGCAAAAAAGGTGCTTTCCAAAGAAAATAAACTTTTCGCTGCTTTTTCACTGTTCCTTAGTATTAAGTGAATTTAAAAGCACCTGTGTCTGGGGGTTGATAGGAAATGTATTTTACTTTCGTCTTTTGTAAAAGTAGACCTCACTGTACTCTACAATGAATAATTTTCAAACCTCTTTAGAAATGACAAATGCTTTAAGACAGATCTGTAGGTGTGTTAGCAAGCAAATCTTGAAACACCTATGTACGTCTGGAAAGACGGTATACATGACAAAGTGTTTGCTTTCCTTGCAGATTGAAGACTATGATCTTATAGCAAGCATGATGGGAGCAAAATGCAAAAAGCTTCGCAGTCTGGATTTGTGGAGATGTAAAAACATAACTGAAAGCGGAATAGCAGAATTGGCTTCAGGCTGCCAGCTTTTGGAAGAACTTGATCTTGGCTGGTGCCCTACGCTACAGAGCAGTACAGGCTGTTTCACAAACCTTGCACGTAAACTCCCAAACTTGCAAAAGCTCTTTCTTACGGCCAACAGGTCTGTGTGTGACACAGACATTGAGGAGCTTGCTGCTAACTGTACGCATTTGCGGCAGCTGGATATATTGGGTAAGAAAATGTAGGAATATTGGTACTTATCTTACCGTGTCTCAAAAGCCTTGTGGTTAAAAAGGAGCTCTTAAGACATAACTGTCTTCTAAACATATTTTTAAATAAATATTTATTAAAATTAAGGTTTAGCATATGAAAATAACACAGAGAGAAGTTCTACTCCCTACAGTGAGTTTCTGACTCAGAATTCAGTGGATTTATACCAACCATGTAATTTGACTGCTTGGGAGGAGTTGCTTAAACTGAGATTCAAGTGCAGGTTTTTTCCAGTAACTTCCGGTTTCATGACCATTAGGGTTTTTTAACTGAAATTCTTCTCTTTTGGTATGTGAAGATCCAATTTCTTATCCTCCTTTCTTGCTTTCGTTTGTTGTTTTATTTCTGTGAAGTGTGACAAAGTATATTTATAGCACAAGTCTGTGATCAATAAACAGATTTCTGCTTTTGCACAATACAGATACACCAAACAATATTGAATTTCTTTGTCACTTTTACAAGGAAGTGAATTTGACTCATTAAAGAGGAAAAGGTAATTAACAGCAAAACTTAAAATGGACTTTCTAGTAAGGTGGGAAAGCAGTAATGAGGGGAAAAAAGCATAGCAAATCTTAAACTTCTAATCTTCTGTAATGAAAAATATGTTTAGAAATCTAAAGTAAATGTAATTTTGACTCTTAAGTACTTTGAGAAATATAGTTTTGCATGATACTGAATTTGCTGTTTTTATGGTGGAATATGAGGCTTTCTTTTTAAAATAAGGTAGGACAGCAGAGATGTTTGACATCAATGTGGGAGAAATCTCTTCATGCTTTTACTGACTTAATTTCACATGGTTAGTTGAAAAAGGAAGATTTACATGAAAGGGAATGAAATAGCTGCACTGTGTATTTTTAATATTTAATAATTTTAATGAAAATACTACATTTAGGCTGAGAGAGATAATGGAAAGAACTGAGAGCCCTCAGCTCGAATAATGTTCCAAGCAAGTTTAAGGCTATCAGCATTTCTCATTACAAAAAAATTACTATATGGCTTCAGATTGTCACTCCAGTGTAGCTAGTACACTCTTCTATCATGAGATCTATCGTCTCTGACTGAGAAAGTTGCCTTCTGACCAGCGTGGGACAGGAGGATGAACAGATAAAGGCTTAACTCCACCTAGTACAAACTGAAGAGACTCGATGTGTATGTCCACAGGAGGCACCGTGTTTCGTGTATCCTTAAGGGAATCTGGTTTGTAGTTAGATCGTCAAGGGCACATTTCCCTATTCAGGCATGAAAAATTTCCAGATGGCATAGTGAATGAAGTCTTTCATAAACACGTACGTTCTCCTGACCACCCACTTCCATGCATTTCTACCACAATGGCATTGTGTCTGCCCACGAAGTGGCCTGACCTTTTCACTACACCCTAGGCTGCCCAGTGAATAGTTGGGCTCTGCTAAGCCTATGGATAGTCTGCTACTTCTCTTGCCTCTCTGCTGGCAGCAAAAGCTTGTTACCACACTTCTTTAGCATTTGAATTCATGTTTGAGTTCAGTTGGACATCTTATTGACGTTTTTGTGGAAAAATAACGCGAGAACGTGGAGAAGGAATTTGTCCTGTTCCCTGGGTGCTTACCAGCATCCCGGAGTCAGGTGGATTTGTAGTCAACCTTTCCCGGTGAAGCTGCGTGTTGGGTTCAGATAAATGCTGTCCAGGGGATATCCAGTTGAATTATCTACAAGAGGTTACAAAAAACCTTAACATCCACCTTCCAGACCTCACTTTCTTCCTTCAGAGGAATACTTAGTAGGGTGGAAAGGAGGTTGTCTTTTGCTGTAAATGAGTCAGTATGAGGTGATAGGATATATGTGAAGGAGTGACCCAGCTTTTTTGGCAACAGCAAGGAAACTGTTCATTTCTTTGTCTGAATGTGGGAACCGTTACAGTCTGTGGTTAAAAGAAAGAGTTGTCAAGTAGAACCACACTGGGTCATCTGGAGGTAGAGTTGCCAGGTGTTCCTGCCTAAGTGCAGAAGTCTGTCTGAACTAAAGAGCTAGTCTCTCACAGTGCGGGAGTACCGGGGAAGTCATACATCTCTGTATGTGCTCTAACTTTTGGCATCTGATGTAGGGCCATCCTGTTACTGTAAGCTACATAAATGCTTAATATGTTTTTGTCCTTTTGAAGAAGTGTGACAACAGGTCTGAAGCTGTTAGAGGCCTGAGGTCAGTGCTCAGCTTTGCGAGAGTAACCTTGAACAGTGGGTCTTCTCTGTGATGTGAATGAATGAGAGGTGCTCTCATTATACCCTTTGTCATCTCCCAAGTACAGAAATGTCTGGCTTGTACATGCATTGTGAAGGGTGTAGAAGTATTGCTGCTAGGTTAGCAGTGCATGCTGGAAGGGAACTTCTTTTGCTTCAACAAAGCTGTGCAAAAGCTTGAGGTTTTTTGCTGTATACAGACACTTACCTAAGCAGGGATAAGAATGTCTTACCTTGCACTGTAGTCGCCAGCGTTGACAATGCTGGCTTCTCTCTGCAATTGTTAGAACTTACAAACTTGTCAGGGAAAACTTCTTGTTTCAGGTATCGATTATTTATCATCACAATAGCTTCAGGACTGAAGGAGTCTAAGCCTCTGAAAGAAATCTTGTTGAACTGTGTGTCATTCACTTAAGCATTACAAAGTGAATGTTATATATACCCTGGATGCTGTCTTCAGGTGGTAGGTCCTGCAGCTTGCTACCCATCTGCCCTTTATTTAGCCTCTCCATTATCATTTGGCAGTTCCTTTGTTGCAGAATCAGAGGACTCCGTAGAAGATGAAAATTGCCAGTTTTCAAGGGCTCCATAACCTTACTGGCCCATGCAAAACATTGTTTGGTGCGTGGCTGCGTTTGTGGTGTGTAAAACATACTTCAGAAAGTAAATTTCTGTTTAAATAAAAAAAAAAATCATGGGTTGAAGCCATATCTGCTGTATTATTATACAATTTGGAAGAGGAAGCATGATGTGTGTTACTGAGTACATGAGGGTGTGCTTCTTGAAGTTTGAGTTCTGAGCTTTCTTTTACCCATTACATACTGAGCTGCCTTTTACAGGGATCATTTCCTTCTCTGCCCACATCTTTTCCACTAACTGACATGGCAGGTTTCCACCCTGCAGTAGAATGATCCAGCTGTGATCATCTGACAGTTTTGTAGTGTTGGTGTAGATCATCCAGTGCTGTCAGAAGTTAAGTGGACACCTCTAGACCTGTAGTTAAAAACTAGTCTTCAGACTGCGATCCGCGTTGCGCGATGTGATGAGTCAGATGACAACCTGAATTGGCAGTGCCAAAAGCTTTTCTTGTACATCATGTCAGCTGCATAGTTCTGTTGCTGTGGGGCTACCAGCTGCTGTCAAGGATGAAGAATAAGTTGTCTTAACCTCACTCCCCAAAAGTCCTGGCTGCCTCTGTCCTGCACAAAAAAGAGTAATGAAAGTAGACACCCTTGTTACTGCAAAATTCATGTATTCCTAGCTACATACCAACACCTCCCACACCTTCCTGAGCAACAGAAAACCCAACTGCCCCCTTGCCAGCTGTCAAAATTTTCAGCTTTATCTTGAGAGCATCAACACGTAGTTAGTCAATTCAAACATGAAAATGTGTAGCATGTTAAAATTCTGAGTTGTGTGCAATAGATCGAATAAAATGTAAAGAATAAAAGGCTAATCTGGCTGGTTTGGGGGAGGAAAGGAAAAGTAAGAATGTTTGAGGGGATCGTGCTAGTTATTTTCAGGGTCTCTACTCTTAAATACCGTTTGGCATGCAGTAGTATCCCTTGCCCCAAAAATTTGGGGTCTGGCAATTTTTATAGCCACCATACACAAGGTCTCCTGAACAGCTCTAGAATTTGAAGACTTGGATATATAATAGATATAAATGAAATAATTTACAGCTAATAAACATAATCGTTCTAGTATTAGTAATTACTCAGAAGTGCCTTTCACAAAGGTGATACCAAAGAATAAGCTGAACAACAAAATTAAATAGCAGCTTTTAATATACCGGTTATGTATGTATTCTGAGAAATGGCAGATTAGTCCATGTAGGAGAAGTTGTGGTAAGTAACGAAGGTCAGAAGGCCTCCAAACTAGAAAAATGCACTGTATAAGTAACAGGATACATGTCAGTCTTTCAAAAGCAACAGAAAATACTCTCTATTACACTTACGAAATGCTTTAGAATGTGCTTTTAAGGAAGATACTTCACTAATTGTATATTCTATAAATAAAAGTAAGATTGTGGATGATGTTTGCTTATCTTGTGGTGTGAATAACCGAACTCCAACCAGATTGCTGGCCTTTTTAGCTTTTCAGAAATATTTTTTTTTTCCTAACACAAAATTTTAAGTCTGAGGAGGAAAAAAGAAACAGGTGCAGTAAAACATTCAATTTAGGATGGCCTACTTAGTTACAAATCCATTAAAAATCTTAGTCTTAGATGAAACGGTAGGAGAACTGTTGAAGTTCAGGTAGGAAGGAATGAAGAACATCCTACACAAAAAATCTGTGGCTAGGCATAGAGATCTAGCATTTTTGTAGAAACACACATTTGGATCTTGAAGCGTAAAAGCTGTGATGCGTAAATGAGACTGGTTTTAAATGAAGGTGCTGATGCAGTAGCAATTTTAAGGCTTGGTGGAAAAAAAAGATAGCATAATGTTTTGTTCCTAGAGTTTCGGTTAGAACGGTAGAGCAGATCCTGATGGTAGGACAGTGGTACTATGATAAAATTTATGGTCAAGTGAAGCGAATAACTAAAGTGTATTACAGAATTTCTGTGTGTGGCCATAGGGGCTGTTACATCAACCCGAGACAGTTGTGGTGACTGGTCATATAATATAATAAGGGAGTTAAAAATCACAATAATAATGACAAGGTTTGATTGCCTCTGAGTAGGTGGAGTAAAATTTGGGGGCATGAGATAGCAAAGACTGTTTTGGGGTGATGTTATATGATGTCTCAAAGCAACTAATCTGGGAGCCTACCATGGAAGAAGTGAAGACCCCTCTTAGATACCCCCCTTGCTTATGCAGAAGAGTACAAGAAACTACTAAAAACAGAGGCATCTTTCTGGAAATTAATCCTGTTCAGAGAAGGAAAATAGGAAGATGAACTCTAGAAAGTGAAGCAAAATCACAGTAAGGCAGTATGAGATTTGAAGGAACCACTGGCTGAAGGTGGATGCTAAAACTGTATTTCAGAGATGTTAGAAGTTTACAGGAGAGTTACTGAGGTTGGTAGATACTCCAGATGTGAAGGATCACTCAGATTCAAGAATGCCATTGCAGGAGGACTGTTGTCTGTCTATCAGTGTTCATGGCAAGGGCAGGGATCAAATAGGCTGCTGCATCAGAGCCGTTCTTTCCAGGAGATTAGCCTGGAAAGCTGCCTTAAATTGGAATGCCAATACAGAAAGCTTTTGGACAAATCAATATATTGAACAATAATAAATTGTTAGGACTAAATGGTATTTATGCAGCGATTCTAAATGAGCTCAGATACAGGGCTGTGGAAATCTTATTTCTGCTGTGTGATCTGTCACTTAAATCAGCCTCGGCACTAGAGGAATGAAGGGTTACAAACACGGCACAATTTTCTGCAAAGAGTGCGGGGTAGAAGCTGCAAAGCAGTAAGATTGCCTTTTGCTCTGTGTAAACCAGTTGCAATCATAACAAAGTCAGTGGGTGAGTGGACATGAAGGTCACTCTGTTTTGAAGGAGAGCTGCATAGGTGAGGATAGTATAGCTATGTCTCTCCAGTCTTTTAGAATTCCTTAGAGTTCTTGGTGAAGGTGAGCACCGTTCCAGCCCGTAGAGGACTGGATTTTTGAAAAGCTTTAGCCAAGGTGCTTCTGCTTTTGTAACTTAGCTGTCTTCTCCTGGTTTCTGAGTGTTTCAAAGACAACAGAGGACAAGAACATAACAACTTTTTTCACAATGAAGTCACTGCTGTGGTCACCAAGGGTCTGTACTGGTCTTCTTACAACTAATCCAGGCAAAGGGGTGAATCATGCTGTACCAGAGGGCAATGCACAGGTGTTCAAGGTAGAAGAATCTAAAGAATTTAACACTGAAAAATTGCAGAATGATCTTATGATACTTACTAAACAGATGATAAAGCAGGAGGAAAACTGTTCTGTCAGGTGCAAAGTAAAAGCAAGAGGCAAAATTAACTAAGCATACGACAGGTGGTGGCTTTATGTTAGTTTCTGGTTTCTAGGAAAGAGATGCTGTGGACAGTTTTTGGAAAACACCAGCTCATTGCTCAGCATCATTCTAATAGGCAAATAAAAGGTTAGGATTTCTTAGGAAAGAAATGGAGAAAACACCATAAGGACTCATTATACAGTTACTGACTTTGTGCTCAGTACACTTCATAGTTATGGTCATCCAGTTTCAAAAGTACTAAATCAGTGCAGAAACAAGACAACGGGGGTCATGTGGAATGTCAAAGAATCCAGAAAACGGCCTTGAGGGAACAGGTGTCCGAAGGATTATGAATGATGTGGAAATAGAGAATGGGAATGATCTCCCACTGCTTCTTATTGATTCATTGCCCCTTGGTTATTGCAATTAATAGGCAGTGGGCTTAAGGCTGATTTTTTTTTTTTTTTTTAACATTATGTAGTTAAACTGTAGAACTCATGTGAAGGAGCCATAAATATGAAGAAGTTCAGAAAAATAATAGCATTCAGGAAAGGTAGCTTCAGAAATCCCTAAAATGATCATTTGTGGCAGTTGAGAAGATCCACCAGTGAAAAGCTGTTTTAAAAATATGCTCCTCCTTTTTTTTTTTCTTTTTTTTTTTTTTTGTAAGCATGATTGTCCGTGGCCATAGCCAAGACCCGGGACTAGATGGATTTTTGGGGTGCAGTTCAGCTCAAGATGGAGCTGTGTAAGTTGAGGTGTCTACAGTCACGTTGGATGTATAAACTCTTCTTAGAGCGAGGAGGGCTCGATGAGCAATTTAGCCCACTGTAGGCATCCGGGCTTGGTTCGCTTGCCAGAGTCACCAGCCGTTCCAGTAAGACCTGGATCTCCTCCGCTGGGTCCAGTGTCCTGTCTGCCAGCTCTGTGTGGATGTTCTGCATGGCGTAAGGAACCCCAAGGGGCACTAGGCACTTCAGGCAACTGAATTACACCCCAGTGCCCAGCCAGCTAAATCGTGTGCTGCATACCACTGACTGTACTGGTTAGATTTTCATCAGCTGTAATGGATGTGCGGATGCACGCTTATCAACACCTATTTATTTGATTTCTGACTGGATCCCATGCTTGGTCTGACCCCGTGTGACGCTCGGGAGTTCAGCCACTGTGGTCACGTTTCCAGCAGGGGTAAATAGTGTGGTTCCTGTTAGAGTTAGCGTGTATATAGCTATGATTCGTAGTCTCTTGAGCAACTGCCCCTGCATGTGCATAACACCTACGCTCACTCTAGAGTCCTGGAAGCCTTGCTGATGTGTTTGGAGTTGGAGTAGCCCACAGTTGCTTGCGTGCTGTGCTGGCCAGTGCAGTCAGCAGGAGAGGCAGGAGAGCACGAGTGTAGTGTTCGGTGTTGCTCGCTGCCAAAGCCCAGCACCTGGTCACTGGTAAGTCTGGTGGCTTTGGGTACTCGGCTTCTGCAGTTAGAGATTCCCCCTGAAGTTGTAAAGTTGCCCCCCAGTAGAAAATGATGGAGTTACTTAAGCAGTTAAGAAAATACAATAGGCCTCTTAAAGGTAAAAATTCTGCACTGTCTCTGAGAAGCTTTTAACTTGAAGTCTGATTGAAGTAAACTAAATAAAAATTGTGTTATAGTAACATTATTTTCATGGCACAGTGTTAGCAGCTTTAGAAAAAAAGACTATTCTCAGTAACTTTACAATTTATTTCTTTTTTTTTTGTTTTCAAACAGGGACGAGGATGGTAAGCCCTGCATCTTTAAGAAAATTGCTGGAGTCTTGTAAAGATCTTTCTTTACTCGATGTGTCCTTCTGTTCACAGATTGATAATAGAGTTGTCCTAGAACTGAATGCCAACTTTCCTAATGTGTTCATAAAAAAGAGTTTCACCCAGTGACTCACTACATATGCTGCTGTGGAATTCGTTTGACAGAGTTGTTTCCTGTGAATTTGTGCTGACTTTTTTACAGAAGAATATAAATCCCCTATGAAATAGTGGAAAGTATTAACTATCTACACAAATGGGTAACATACATTTAAATATATTGCGCATTTCTTAAAGAGTTGATATCTACCTAAGAATTGGTTTACTCTGTTAATTGGTGGCACTGCATGTTTTTAAATAGCGGCCATATGTGTGGCTTTAATGAGAAGAAAATGAGTAACGCCGTCTTAAATGGCCCTTCATAGGGTGTTACATACAACAAACTGTTTTAATGTCTAGGTGAAAGCAGAAGTTCAATATCTAGCAGTAAGGAAAAGATGGGTGCTTCCTTTTTATGTATATGTGTTTGTGTGTGTATATATAAATGTATACAGATGTATTTGTATATACATACACAGATACTGTAGCATTCTGGTTTGGCCTGCAGCATAAGCTGTTATGATCTGGCCTGTAATTAGTTGTTTGAAAACCTGTTCAAGCCTGCATAAGAATGGATTGAAAAGACACTTTGTCGTCTTCATTTTTCTGTCAGTGAGTTCTATCTGATACATTTTTCTCCCTTCCTCCACCTGAAATAAATGTAGTGATGTTTTACAGTCCAGCCTAAGTGACACAACAGATAAATGCAAGAACCCTCCACCTGAATTTAGAGCAGAAACGAAAGAGAAAATTGCCTGCTGCTTTCTTGGTATTGGATATAAGGTTTGAGCCAGATACTTGGTGGCATAACTGGTAACACGTCGAAAACTCCAGAGCAGTTTTCAAATTTCTGTCATGGTCAAGACTTGATTTGTGATACACCTGGTTATCACACAGAGTACCATAAAAACTAGAGCTTAGGGTAATGCAGCAGCGACTGTACCTTACACTGGCATCAAATCTACTGTCAGGTGTAAAAGCAAACATCATTGTTCAGTAAAACAGCAATGAAAATATAGTGGGTTTAAAACAAGGGCAATATGATTTGGTGATTTAACAGTCACCAAACCTCAGTGTTGGATTGGGTTGGGGTTTTTTTTTTGTTTTTCCAAGAGGTGACTGCTCACAGTACTATTGCACTCTCTCTCTCTAACACTGTTTAGCCTTTGGAGAAGGAAAACTGTTGATGGACAGATTCTAGAGGTTTCTTCCTTTTGCATTTCCTTAGATGAAGTTTTTCTTTTTTTTTTTTTTTTTTTTCTTGAATACCACTGCTAGAGCATGTTGCTATGTACAGCTTGAGTTTAGAATGTTACCTTTTTAGCCATTGTTGATGCATACAGACCATGAAATACAGCCTGCCATTTGGTATTGGTTCCACTGTTCTTGTACTGATGGCACTTACTACCTACTGGAATAAGAAGAAAAATACTTTGTCTGGCAGAAGTACATTATTGCACTGAAGATCACTGGCAAAGAAAACGTCAGTTTATGCAGTAAATAACCGACCGCTACTGGAGGACTGCTACGAATCATTAAAGATTTGACAATCTCTGTGACTCCTGAATGAACGCTTTGAACTCTCTGTGCTGGTGCCAATACTTTATAAACCATGTCATGAAACAGCTACAGAACATTTATCTGATTTTATAGAAAGACCTCTTACTTCAGATTTTTAAATTTTACAGAATCTTTTGGGAATTCCAGATCCAAAGAAGGGTATGCACAGTTGGCTTTTTATTTTTTTTTTTTCCTCCACACAGATGGCACTATGGGATTTCCAATTAGATTATGCCATTCCATTTTATTTTTTAATTATTTTTTTCCTCCAGAAAACTGGACAATCTTTAGATCGATTTACTTTATTTTTCCACACTGACAGATGTCAGCTATGGTGTGATTCGGTATGAGACCTCATTTCTTTCAGTCAGGTTTGGGTTGATTTATTTTTCTGGGAACTTTTAAGTTTTTTTTAATCTACAAGTAGAATTTTTTTCATTGTAGTTAAGTGTTAAACATTATTGTTCTAGTTGCAGGAGAACACAGGTTCAGATAATGAGAGTTTACAAAGAACAGTATTTCAAAACAAATGTTTTTGTTGTAAAATTTCACTTCTCAGGGTTCATCTGTATTTATCTCCTTTTTTCCCTTAGAGATCCTTCTTGTTTGTTTTTCACTGTAAATAGAATGGGATGTGGATGAAGTGATAGCCATTGTGCCTTCAAACTGGTAAACTCCGTAAAAAATACAGTTTCACTTCTACAGCATCAGTGAATCACATAAGTGTTTTTGTAATCACGTGTGTGTAAAGGATTTAATTCTCTGTTGCTTTTTTGGTAGTATAAAGAAGGTTTAACTTGATGCTTTGTTCATACTAAAGGATTTTTTTTTCCTTACGTTGTGCCTTCTGCTTCAAAATGTTTTTGTCAGGAATTCTCTGTTGTCACTTGAAAGATAAATTGAAGTCTGCTTTTTATTTGGACGATTTAAAACTTTGGTATTGCTAACACAATTAATTCAAATAGCGGAGAGAGAATTGGGAAAGACTTCCATCTATAGTTGTAAACTTTAACTTTCAATCAACGGGTAAGAAGCTCTTTTAGCTATGGCTTTATGCGTCCAAGAAGTCTTCCAGTAAAGAGAGGATAGACCAGACTTGACATTTATGATATTTCTAGAATAAAGAAAACAACATGCTTTTAGACCTTCCTTATACTTCATGAAGAAGCAAGAATAGGTCACTGTTTTTTTTTAGTTCTGCTATTTGATACTTATGTGTGTCTATCTATTTATACATAGGGATGTATAAATTATACATATGCACACATATGTTTGTGTATATATGAAAATTTTTTGTATGTGTGTACATACTTCTACATATATGTATAAATCTCAAAGGTCTTCATGTAGGAATTACTTTTGTGAAGTGAATGTAATAGCAAAAGATGTTTCATAGCAGTTCTGTTTTCAACTGTTGTTTTACTGTACCTGGAGACGGAGTTGCTCTCCACCCGTGCAGCAGGAAAAGCCTGGGCAGGAGTTGTGCTGGATTTCCTGTGTTGCTTTGCCAAAGTGCCTTCTGGTTTGTCTACACGTGCAAGGTATTACAGGGTATGGTAGAGTGTGAATGCAAAGTCCGGTAACTACTGTGGACTGTCTCCTGGTGAAGCAGTCATATAGAGGGAAACTTACCCTAATTTCATTTAATCCAAAATGAATGGTGGCAATTCCTCAGTCGGAGGAATTTAATTATTTTGGAATTGGGTTGTCATCTCCAACACTAAATCGTCCCTCAGTTGTGTTATCTAAATTCTGCTTTTAAGGATATTCCATTTTTTTTTTTATCGTGTCCTTTCATCTTGTCTGTCTTAAGCAATGTAAAAGATATGCTTTGGCAACAGATGTTAAAAAAGCATTGCTGACATGTCCAAAAAAAAAAAAAAAAAAGGCTTGCTCTGAAGTGCTCGTGTTCTTAAACTAAATGGGGGCTTCTGTACTATCTGTATGAAGTTGGTGTGGGATGGCATATAGGTAGATACGTCATTCTTCTGGTCGTTTTAAAAATTACTATGATAATTTTACCATTTAAGTCATCTTCCCAGCTCTTGAAGGCTTCAATTCAATAGTGTACTTAACTTGTATTCATAATTCTGAGCTGTCTGGCTAGATAGCTCCTTGGAAATGTATGGGGTTTCTGTTGTTTAAATTATGGACATTATTAAGTACATGAGTGAGCAGGACTTATATGGAAGAACAGTTTTGCATAGGAGCTTGGGACTTGTAATCCCCATGTACTTTTGGAGGTCCAAATTTCAGACCAAAAAAAAACCCAAAAAGATTAAAAAAAAAAAAAAGACGACCCTTGTATTTACTGCCTGATTCTTTCCCTGGAGCTCTCAGCTCTCATGCCAGCGTTTCCACGTACAAGACATCCAGCAGTTGTGGTAGACAGTGGGCAGAATTCACCTCACTGAATGTTAGCTCTCAGAGTTAGGCATCTAGTTTAAGGCAGGAATCTGGGCACCTCTAGAGAGCAATTAATCTCCCGCTAAGATAGATGTTTAAGGAAAGTGGAATGAGTCATATTTTGGAGGGCCTCTCTGGAGGCTGTGGAAGCAGCAGTTTAGCTCAGGTCAGATACTTGGATTTAGAACACTAAACTGAGATTAATTCCATCCAGCGCTGTACTACCTGGCTTGGGATAGCAAACGACGAGACTGGAACAACATTCATCCCCAAACCTCAAAACCCTCCAAAAATCCATCCACAAAGAAGCAAATTAAAGAGGTGCTGACAACTTGAAAAGTCAGTGTTTTAAATGCCGGGATCTACTTCTGCCCCCGAGTGCCATGCCAGTGGCCAATGCCTGTGGTATGTGCTTTTTGGTTGGTTGGTTGGTTTTAGTGGAAATGCATCCCCTTTCCCTGCTCTGAAATCTCATGTACCTAACTGGCTGTATGTATAGTTCTGTAAATGCATGAAATTAATGGGCAAATGTAATTAATGTACTGCAGCTATTTTGATAATCTTTCATATTGCTATAATTAAGACTATGACTAGTTTAACTGCTCTCCTGTCATCAGAAATGTCACCCACTGTGCATTTGCAAAAATTGTGTGTTTAGTCCTCGTTCTTACTGTGTATACTTACTGCATCTGATGGGATATGTTTCCCACATCACATCTGCAGGACTACTAAATTCACAAAAGCTAGATAAAATGTAGCATTTTATTATATGGAGTACGGGGGTGACTTTCTATATTGATTTACATATTCATTATTACTCATTTGCAATGATTCCGTAAGTTGTAGCTTTTGAAATTACTAGGCTAGAAATTCTTGGTTTAATGCATCTGTTACATGCCGTGTTAGACACAGGCAACGTTTTTCCCAAATGAAGGCATTTATCCTTCACTGAAATGATGATTTTTGTGGTCTTAGATTTCTGACTTGAAAATGAAATCCAATAAGGGCTCTTTATTAAATATTACCAGGCATGGGACAGGTTGGTATAACTGACATCAGGAAGGGCTGAGGCATGAGTCTTGTGTGTTACAGTTCCTCACGATCTTCAGAGAAGGGCCTCAGCAAGATGTGGCTCTTTTTTAAAACAATTCAGCCTCAGTATTAGCAGGCAGTGGTGAGATTTTCCTTTTTAGCAAATGGACTACGCACTGTTATTCTGAGTTATGTAGCTCTAGTCTCTCCCTGTCTTGTTTTCATTTAAGAATGAGAAATGGCACAGTTAGGGCAGGCGTCCTAAATTGGAGGGGATCCTTTGTGAGGAATGAGGTTTTTCTCTTGCATGTTTTGTTTCCCTTTTCTAAAAACAAATAAATAATAATTAAAAAAAACTCAACTATTTGAAAGCTCTTTTTTTTTTTTTTCTTGGATACTGAAGAAATGCAAATGTAAAGAAAGTTGAGAAAAGAAACAAAGGGGATTTATCCAGATTTATCTGGAAATTCATAAAAGGTTGTACAGAGCTATTTATAGATGTGAGGAAAGTGAGTGCACTGTTCTAGATCAGCTGTTACCTTTCCCAGAAATTGTTTCCCATATAATTTCACATGCTCATACTTACAAGTCAAGATTTAGCATTTAGATGCTCTTAATCTTGACCTTTCATAGACGTGCTTGTGCAGTAATTCCTGCTGTCTCTTTGTTTAATTTTTGTGAACTACATAAAAATATTTTTTTCTTCACCTACCGCTGCCCAGCTGCGTTTTTTGTTAACCTCGGAAATGGTTTTCTGCACGCACACACAGATGCATGTAAGACTTCATTGCTTGGGATTTTTGCAATTGGTCCTTTTTTGAGGACAAATAAACTTCAGGTTTGGGGTTAAAATGGTAAAGAGAAGGCTCTCTGGAGAAGAGAAGGCTCAGGGGAAATCTTACCAATGTATTTAGGAATAGCTGATGGAGGCGGGGAAGGAGGAAGAGGGAGCCCGGTTCTTCTCGGTGTTGCCCCTGGACAGGACAAGGAGCAGGGGTCACAAACTGAGACACGGGAGACTCCATCTGAACACAGGATGACACGCTTTACGGTAAGGGTGACCGAGCCCCGGCACAGGTTGCCCACAGAGACTGTGGAGTCTTGGTCCTTGGAGGCCTCAAAAGCCACCTGGACACGGCCCTGGGCAACTGGCTCTAGGTGGCCCTGCCTGAGCAACGGAGGGCTGGACTAGCTGACCTCCAGAGGTCCCTCCCAACCTCAACCATGCTGTGGATTCCCATCTTTTGTGCATTTATTTACTGTTCTACCACTGTCAAGAGCTGTCGGGTAATTACACTCCTCTGCTCACCGTCAGGAGTTGGGTTCTCCCTGTCAGTCCTTGGTCTCTTTAGATTTATTTTCTTCGGGGCGGTGCCACAGATCTCTGCACATATACACTGTTCTGAAACTAATAGAGGCAAATTAAAAATAGCTGGTTTGGTTGTGATTTGGAAGCTAATAACTAGTCTATGCTTCGAGTTATTTTGGAATAGTTACTGAAAGTGAATTAAAATAAGTAGGGATTGGTGTGTTCTTGGGGAGACCTTGCACTTTCTGATTTAACTTTCACATACAGACAAGTCCTCATTACCAGCTGTCCCTTGAGCCGTGTTGGTGAAATGGATGTGAGGGTCTCATTCTGGTGAAATCTCATTTCTGACGGTCTCAGTCCTTCCTAGTGAGCGTAAAGACACAACAGCTCTTTAGCATCTTGTGGCATTTTGCATTCACCTCCTTACCAGGCCGACAGTGGAGTTGGGGTGTGTCAAGTCTGGACTCATCTCTGCAACTGAGGTGCATGAATTCCCCGAGGAAGTTTCCTGCTCAGATTTATTCCTACGTGCAGGTGAGAAGGAATGGCATCCCCAGGCCTTCAGATTTAAATACCTGAACCCAGCACCTGGACTCATTTAAAAATAATAGGCCTCTCCCTGCCCTCCACAGCCCCCCCCCCCCGCGCCAACCAGCATCAAAATATTTGCACTGTATTGATGTTTTAATGACGTGCTCCATTTTCTGCTGCAACAATAGGAGTTTGGGTAGTGTTGCGACAAACTACTGCGTTACCTTTTAAAGGGACTAATTTCTGTAAAAGGTGGAAGAGCAGCAATAGAGGGAACAGTTCCAGACACTATCTGTAAATAGCTATGCTATGCATGCTATGCCAGTAAGCACCAGAAGTGAGTTATGCCTTTTTTAATAACAAGTCGAGAAGGACAAAAGGGATAATTGCCTCTAAGCACATTTTCTATAGCCGGAAGATATTTCTATCATCTGATTTTAAATGTCTAGGGTAGGTACTAAAGTTAGGAAACTAGTCTCCTAGGGTCCCTTCGTGCTGGGTAGATGGGTTCTTCCACAGGGTAATTCAGATCGGGAGATCAATCTTAAACTGAGGTCTTGAACTGACCTCTAGAGAAGCTGAGGTCCATATAGACCATATAAAACTTCTGTTGGAAGCTAGCTTCCTGCACTGCGCGTGCTCTCCTAGTGCGTGTGGATTCAGAGTAGGAGGTTGCTTACCCCTGGGTGCTCCCTGCTAGCCCCCAACTTTCTCTTGCTTCCACCAAAGGCCACCACTTGCGTTGCTGTCTTGGTTGAACTGTATCTGATTGCTCCCTACAAAATATCTTGACTAAAACGAGGAAACCTTTTGTTTTCTAGTAGTTGAGTGTTTGAAGTTTGGTTTTTGTTGTTTTGTTTGTTTGTTGTGGGTTTTTTTTACCCTCCCAAGTAGGGTATTAAATCCAGCAGAAGGAAGAGGGCATTTAACTTCGGTGAAAAGAACCACAAGCAGCAGGTGGGAGCATGCTGGTTGTGCAAATGTTTTAATTGAAATTAGCATAAATGAGGATAGCCAGTCTTGATTGTGTTCCAGGGCTCCTTAACTTTTAGAGAGTTCATCTCGGTAAACGTGTCGCAAAGATGTCCAAAGCGAGGTGGTTTGTTTTCGCCTCATAATGGTGGTTCAAGCGCTAAACTATAGAATGCTACTCCAAACACAGGAGAACGTGCAAGTCCTAGCTGGCTTCAGTAAATTTCCTAAGGTCCTTTGGAAAACAGACGCTGGAAGTTTTAGATTAGAAAGGCTCATAAGAGCGTATTTAAAGCATGGTGAAGGCAGTGATTAACAAAACCAAAAGCGGGAGGTGGGGGCAGCAGTTCGTGGATGTGTTTTTCAGGACTGTTTCCTGATGTTAAGCTACATGGGCCCATGAAACTAACATCCACTGCTTTGCACTGCCGCAGTCCTAAATATGGACAGTATTCCAAGAGCTGTGTCTGTGCGTGCAACCTTAGATCCCGAATCTGTTCTCTGTGCAGTCATTCAGTAAGTCATACACATTCTCCATTAGCCCCATTTTTTGTTTTGTGCTCCTCTTAGTGTACTAACAGTGTTTACCTTAGCATCTTCCATATATTTATTTTTAATATTCCCCTCTGAGGCTTGTGCATTTTTTTTTTTATATACTTATGTAGTACTTGATTACATTTCAAAATTACCTTTTCTCCCCCTCTTGGTTTTCTGCTTGACCAGTAGTAAACGGGACACACTTTATTAGCGTATTACTTCAGTTCAGATTTGACTACTGCATCTTCTCTGTCTGTGTAAACCCAAAGGTCTCTGTGCATATGCAGACACAGTTCAGGCACGAATATCTGGCTCTTCCTTGCTTGAATACCTTTGACTCGCACCACTTAATATGTTTTCATGGTATATGGTAAGGGTTTACTCAAACACACACAAAACGGACGCGTTAGCCCTATATTTATAAACAATTGAATTTATTATGGAGAAATCATTTAATGCCTTATCTTGCTAACTCAAAGATAGTTTCTTTTTATCTTAAAAAGTTAATTACATATTTACATACCAATTATTTCTATTTAGTAAATGAATCCTGGTTTATTCTGACACACTGGATCATTTAAAATGTCATAATACTGTGTTGTACAGTTTTATTCTGTTACTGCCAGTATAAAGAAGTTGAAATTAATGTCCTGAGTTGTCAGTGTCTGCTATTTCAGAGATGACAGAAATGTGTTAAATATATTCAACCTATAATATTTATCTCGCTTTGTACTTAATTTGTTTCCCTTTGACTGTGTTGCAAAATACCAAGCGTACATAAAATAATGAATAAATAAAACAAAAATAAATTATTTGTCTACATTCATTGACCTTTTGTGCATTCATTTTAAAAAAGAGTGAAATAAGACACAAAATATGATACATTCGGAGGAACAGTTGGTCATATTTTTATCACGGTTCATTTTGAAATAAGCCACCCTGGGTGTTTCTAGATGCAAATTTGTAAGCTAACTTTAAAAAAAAAAAAAAAAAAAAAAGTGTAGTTTTGTTTAATATTTAGCTTACTATATCCCTATGGAAGCACATGGAACTAGGTGCATTACACAAAGTAGACGCTTTGCTGCCTGAAATGGTTTGTGATCTAAGTACGGAGAAAGAGACAACAGATGTGTGTAGACAAATAGGATATAAAGTGGAATATGGAGATTACAGTGTACCAAGAGAGACCTCCAAGAAGAAAATAATTGTCAACTTTCTTTCAAGAATAATTTCCTACTCTAGCGCAATTTATGTTATCACAACACATTTCTTAATCCCTTTAATTATATAGGTAGTGATATAGTTGTGTTTAAATGTTGTGGAACTTAATATGATAAACTCTAACTTTAGCAAAGATGTTACAGAGTGCTGCAGCTCTGAAAATGGGAACCAGAGGGGAACAGGCGATCAGCTGGACTTGCCTTGTCCAGAAGAACCCGAGTACTGAACTGGAAACAAGTAACGGCTTGTTAGACTTTGTCCTCCTCCTTCGTGAATTATCTATGAAGTGTGCTTATTGGTTCAGAAAACGGTGTTGGTCTGAACAGTGCCCATTTTCTTCTAGGAAAAGTTTACTGTGTTAGATTTGCCTGATAATTGTTCAAGACAGCGCTCCTACTGAAACATATACGAAGCTTTGTGTTATTTTCTTGCATCTCTAAGGAAGCTTTTATTAAGACTTTTAATCTCCAGCACCTACCAAAGTGCTCAGCTTTTGTATCGCAACTTTGCCTCAGGCCAGTGTCATTTCAAACGTGCTAAAACTACCTTTTAACACCAGCTTACAGCTGCTGGTGCTTCTGATTATCGAGGAGCCGAAGGACAAGACTGGACCCGGTTTCTGTGCATGTTGGGCAGAACGCAGCTGACTTTTGGCACATGCTAAGTACAGTTTCAGATGTCATTTCTGACTGCCCTGTTTGTGTCAGATACCTGTTTCTCGGTGCTGTTTTCATGGTATTGAAAATTCACACATACAACCGAAAATTGTCAGGTGTCTCTGTTCCTCTGTGTGGCACTTCTGAGCACGCAGTTTAAAAAACACACAGATGAAGCCGGGTTTCAAAATGTTCAAGATTTCCAGCCTTCAGTGCCCAAGAGCCTGTAATACACTTTATTACATTATTATTTAGCAGGAGTGCACTATTACTGGGGGAAGCGAAAGCAGTTACCTGTTCTCTGTACTCCCGTAGTTTTACATGTTATGTGCCCAGAGGAAGGGAGGGAAGTTCAGTGTTCTGTGAAAACGTTCAGTAATGTGAACTTGTCTCTGTCACTTTAAGCTGCAGTTGTCAATCTGAATTGAATTTAAACAGAACATTGTAGATCTGATACCATGTGTGCTGTAATTGGTTATTCACTGGTAAAATCAAATGTCATCATATACAATGCAGGCATTTATTATTACAAACAGATTTTAAAGTAACACTTTCCCTCGCAGTTTTGAAGAGCTAGGAATGAAAATGCTCTGACGCAGTGACCATACAGTTTTGAACTGCCAAATATGTTTAGAAGTTAAAAGAAGTGCAGCAGCATTTTTGTAACAAGGTCATGTCCTTCTCTCTGGACGCAAATGCACAAACAATTTAAGTTCAAGCTTCAGGCCAGTAGGTCTACGAGTACTTTTGGAGCCCAGTGATACAGTCCACATAGTTCCTTTGTAAAAAGGATAAATTATGTTTAGAATTAGCTTTGTGAACTGGCTACAAGCTTAGGGCTTGAATTAAATAGTCTGTATTTAAAAACTATGCTGAATGTCACAGAAAAATGTGGTTGGCAGTTCCACTTAGGTTATTTTTTCTAGTATTTGTATGCGATAGTGAACGTAACAATTTGGGCAGCTGTTAATTTAGCACAGGAGGCCTCTTATAGAAAGGATCAAGAGCACCTTGCTTAAATTAGTCATTTTAGCAGTTGGTAAAAAATATCAAAAGCAGCTCAGAGCTAATGAAAACTTGAAGGGGAACTAAAATAGAAAGTTGCACTACATCTAAGAAAGTGCAATTGAGGCGAGCAATTCTCCCTCTTGCTTCGAGATCCTGCTGAAGATGGTTGGGTCTGGTGCCTGCTCCCGCTTTCCAACACCTGTTCCCGGGATGCTGCTGCTGCTGGGAGCAGCTGTTCCCCTGCAGTGACTGCAGCGAAATGTCAGCGTGCTAAACTGCTTAATTGGGCATTTTGAAAATATGAACAACGAGTGCGCTTTGGGATGAACTTCAGAGACCTTACTGTGAGGTATCGCTGCTTAGAGAAACCTTTACTGCATTTTTGCAGTCACTTAGTAATTGCAAACGGTTTGTGCACAAATAATCTGACCCATAGGGAGAGTTCATTGAAGGTGATGACAAGCTATTTTCAGCATTTGTATTTTTTTGGTTTTTTTTCTCCATACAGTGGTTTCAGAGACTTGATAGGATGCTTTGCAGTAACTTTCATTCCTCCAGTAGGCATCTTTTCTTTAAGGTCTGCAACCATCACCTAGTGTTGAGCATAAGATACTCATCTTTAAGTGACTGGGGAAGGGAAAAAAAGTGGTGGGTGGGTACAGGTAGGCACTCTGGACTGAGTGACCTAGGGACAAGTTACTAAACTTGTAATTCACTTTCCATCTGTGTGTGATCCAGTAATATTTACCGTATTTCGTGCTAATGAGATTCGTGGAGAACTGAAATGTTATGCAAGAGTCAATCATTATCTTTGAATTGGCTAAGAGAGAGGATTTGTAAGAGCGAAGTACAGTGGGTACCGATCAAACCTAGAGATCTACAATGCCGCTCTGATTTTTTTTTTTTTTTAATGCTTTTAAATAATTCAGTCTTTTCAGAGAATGACAGCAGCTTTCAAGTTAAAGTATTGATCCATGGGTGTTCTGCTGCTCTCCAAAAGGCGCAGAGGCTTTTGCATCTGTGCCTCTGCTGCTCAAAGTGGCAGATCTTCAGAAAGGAGGCGCAGATCAAGAGTAATGATCTCCAGCTAATGATCAGGTGCTATCTGTCACCTGATAGCAAGAAGTCAGTTGCGAGGGGGTGGGGTGACGACCCACCTTTTTGCGTTTTCCTAAATGCACAGTCCTGAGGCAGTTTTTACGTCTTTCAGTTGGCAGGAATTGAACCTGAACTCTGTCAGCTGGAGCTGCTGTGTTCAACCGTGGCTCCAGACTGGAGGAGTTCAGTGACATGCAGCAGCAGCAGATGGGTCACCTTCATGCACGCACTTGATCGGTAGCAAATATCATACCATACTTTCAGTGTTACTGCAATTTATCATCGAAAAGTACTGAACACGGTTTTATTAATAAAGAGATTATTTTTCCTAAACGCCGTAAGAGACTAAGTGACCATGTACACTTTCCTCTTTGGAAGAAAACAGTCATACTACCTTGCTCCTTAGCTTGTTGGGGTTTTTTTTTGTTGTTGTTTTGTTTTTAGTTTGTATTTTTTTTTATCCTCAGAATAACACTGTCTTCTTATAAAAACACTTTTTCCCAGAAGTCTCCTACAAACGATGAGTTTAAATTTGAAAGAGTGAGGGAACCACAGCTCCTTCTGGCATCTTTCTGTCTGCCGGCCTGTTAGTGGCTGTCATGGCCCTGCTCTTAGAGAGCAGCAGAATCTCTCCAGGGAAGGCAGAGGGGCCGTTCCCTCTGTTCGAGAAATAGCAATGCTGGATTTTGCCTCAAAACTAACAGAAATGAGAAAAGGGGCCGTATACATGCATGATGCTGCTCTGTGTTAGGTATCGGGTTGGGATTGTGGCGTTTCGATGAGGCTGTTACTCGTGTTTTAAAACATTCGCCGTTGCCGCAGCCGCTGCCTCTAAGGAGTCCTGCAAACTCCACAGCGCGTCCTTCTTACCCCCGGCTCTCCGGACTCTGCTGAATTTCATCTTAAATAGAAAGCATTTGGGACGTCTAAACGACAGGGCTTCCCTGCGGAGCCGCGGACGAACGACACGCCGAGATGGGTTCAGTGTGGGTGATAGAGCATCAATCAACGTGTGTCTTTATTGGTCCAGGGTACATATATTTATACAGACAATGATAATTATTATGCCTACTAGTCACTAGCTGATTGGCTTAAGCTCTAAAGGTCGTATTCGCACGGTCCACCTACTTGCAGTTAGCTTACAGCCCAAGCTTCTCATAACACTAAGTTTCTCATGCTACTAGTTCTGATTCCTGTTGACTTGTTTTCGATACACGACAGTACCGTAACACAATGTTTCTCAGGCCACCGTTATCGTAACACTGGGTTTCTCAGACCACTATTCCTAATTCCCCTTAACCTGTTTTCGACACACCATGGTACACAGGGCTGAAGCGTCCTTGACATTCCTCCTGTATCAGCAGCTGCAGGCAAACCCTAGTGAGGCCCAGCATCAGCAGCTAGAGCAGGCTCTGATCATACAATTGCTCGGTGGGCTCAGGACCCTTGTCTCTGAGCCATTCTCCAACACTTCCCACCGCCTGTGACAGCCTGTGGCCGCGTGTTTAGGCCCTGCGTTTAGCACTAGTGGGTGCTGGGCACTTACCGCAGCTAACCTGACTTGTCCCGGCGGGTGCTAGCTCTAAGTCTGGTGGTGGAGGGTCACCGGGAGGTGGGAAGCTTTGGATTCGGGCCCCGGGGGGGGAACGGAAGGTGCAGCTGAGGCCCAGGCGCTGGGCCAGGCCTTCTGCCCCCTCACTGCGGGTGTGGTGGCGGGAGTCACGGTGCTGGGCCAGGCCGGGGAGCGGGAGACTGATTTCAGCCTTGTGGGTAGAGCCAGCGGGAGGAGAAGGGAAGCAGGAGCTAACCTACCCCGGAATAGGTGAGTTAAAGCGGCCTGGCCCCTGC